GGACGTTATAATTACAATGATCGTGAAAACACGTAATGCACGTTGGAAATAGCAACACCAACTACACGATATAAATCCATCATTAGCTAATTGCAGTATCGAATCAGGATACAGGAAGAAAGTTTCCTGTTCAGGGCCTACTATTGGAAACGAGGTTGGATATAAAATAAGCACTGAGGACGAGGCTGCATATGAATATACTTGTATGTCTTAAATTGTTCACGGCCGCCACCAGACCAATTTGAAGAGAACAGATGTAACAACCGTATACCCGAAAGAACACTCCAGGAAGGAGCGTAGAAAGAACATTTTCCCCTGCACTGCCACTGCAAAAGCTGGGTGGGGGTGGTGGAGTCAATTCGGGAGCGTACCTATGTTCCCTGGTCCCTATGCTCCCCGGTCCCTATGTTCCTCGGTCCCTATGTTCCCCAGTCCCTATGTTCCCCGGTCCCTATGTTCCCCGGTCCCTATGTTCCCCGGTCCCTATGTTCCCCGGTCCCTATGTTCCCCGGTCCCTGTGTTCCTCGGTCCCTATGTTCCCCGGTCCCAATGTTCCCCGGTCCCTATGTTCCCCAGTCCCTATGTTCCTCGGTCCTTATGTTCCCCAGTCCCTATGTTCCTCGGTCCCTATGTTCCTCGGTCCCTATGTTCCCCAGTCCCTATGTTCCTCGGTCCCTGTGTTCCTCGGTCCCTATGTTCCCCAGTCCCTATGTTCCCCAGTCCCTATGTTCCCCGGTCCCTATGTTCCCCGGTCCCTGTGTTCCCCGGTCCCTGTGTTCCTCAGTCCCTATGTTCCCCGGTCCCAATGTTCCCCGGTCCCTATGTTCCCCAGTCCCTATGTTCCCCGGTCCCTGTGTTCCTTGGTCCCTATAGTGACCCCATTCAACCCTTACCGTAACCCTACAATGGGTTGATATGTAGACCAACGTCGGTCAACATATCAAGTTAAACTCTTTGACAAATTCTTCGCAATTGTTGGAAATTTATTACCCAAATTAGGTTATTTGAAACCAATGTTGGGTAAAATTATATTGCCCAACAGTGTTTTACCCATTAATTTTTTACAGTGATAAGGGAACATGGGGAACATCGGGATGAACCCAGTCACTTCTACGCGGCACATTTGCCTATAGACTCAGATTTTTTTCTATCAGAACAATCGTTTCAGCCACAAACGGCGGCTAAGGAAGTGGGGCACGCATCCTCTCTAGCGACGCATGTACTTTTGACATGTTCTTGATCTTTACACAGATTTCATACATCGCTTTATCAGAGATGTGGAAGAGCTTTTTTTAATTTTGTATCAGACATTTTGAAACCTACTCCCACAAACTGAGGTTTTAAATTCCACACAAAAGAAATGTACTCGAAAGGCAAACGGTTTCAAACTTTTAAGGTCTCATGCACTTTTCTTCTGCTTTCATAACAAAGGATGAAGACTCGGTGATAATTGTATTTTTATGCGGCCTCTGATGTAATTGTCATTGGAGTTCCTCTTCTGAAAGACCCGAAACTGTTTACCAAACAACCAAGCCTACGCAGCAAACTTTCTCAGAAATCCATCGTAATCGTTTAGTACTAAATGTCTCTCAGCTCGCAATAAAACTGACGCAAAATACCAATAATAAAAGGCAACCGCATCCCCGACCTTTTCCCCACTCTATCCTGCTTTCTTACCTGCCTGACCTAACGATATCAACCTGAAGATAAACAAAGTGGTTGGACAGGATAAAGTGATCAGACAGACTTTTTCTTTGATGAAAAGCGACAAGAACGGAGGCAATAGCGAGTGTTTTACAAGATGCCTTCCTGAGTATTTAGCGACGGCACAGACTAAGTAGTGCAGCCACGGAGCTGACAAACAGCGCAGTGATTACTGCGATTTGCCCTTTCATTTCAAGTTTCTCTCCCGTACCATTTTCTAGATTCCCCTGGCAAAATAGATTTGATTTTTAAATTGCTATTTTCCTTGCAATACAAATCCACTTTTGAATGAGACATTAAGCGAAAAAGTACGCCCACTTTATATATGGAATAATTTCTACTAAGTTTGAATTACTTGCGGCACGACAATAAGTCAGTTCTCGCATGGTAGATTTGTTTAATACCGCCACCCTATCAGAATCTATAATGAAGGGACCGGAACCAGTCTACTCGCAGGGCGGACCTAAAATAATGTGCGCAAATGAAAACCAGAATAATACCTACTTTCAGGGGGTTAAAGACGTAGGACTACAATAAATTAAAAAAAAAGTTTTCTTCGTTAAAATAACTCATTTAAGTTGAACATTTGCCAGAAATTTTTTTGAATTTGTTAAAAAGCGCGAGGAGAGCATAAAGGTTTATATTTGTTTTTCTTCCAAAGGGGCGGGATTTTCCCCCGAGGAACAATACATCAGTGGAGGTGGTGACATGAAGGGGGGGGGGGGGGTTAGGAAGAAACTAGACATTCGCAGCTCACGGTCAGCAATAAGTCTGCTTGAATTCAAAAGGGATTAAAAGGAAAATAAAATAAGGAGAAAAAGCAGTGCGAGCAATGGAAAAAGAAGAAAATAATACAACTACAGCATCCCAAAAAAAGTAACAGGTTTTTTTTTTACATGTCTTTTTGATCATGCAGTGTGTGACATTTGAATGGAAAAGCCTGCTTAACACCATCTAATTCGGCAAAGACAATGGCTGCAGGGTTTCACAAACAGTAGGTTTACGGTTCGTTGCTGATACGTCCTCTGAAGCCCAGATCCCCACAATGATAGACATGTTCTCGGAATCCATCCCCTGGCAAAATAGGCTGTCACAACAAACCTTGATTTCTCCTAGGAGCCCCTGGACTCAACATCAAATTCGAATCCTTTAAGCCACTAGTGCTAGGCCACGTACACAAGCCCCCAAGAGAATTGTCAATTGCGAGCTAATAAAAAAGGAAATCGACCACACTTAATTTTGTTGTAAAACATAGTTTTCCACTTGTTGTTGGGATGAACTTGCTTGCAACCATTGTTCAGAGACGCAGACGAGCAGCTGATGAAACTGCACGAGAAAAATTGTCAAACATAGCGAGCCCACAGGTTTTCGACAACTTATAGAGGGTGTGTGCTTCGCTTCGGCCGTGAGTTGCACAGCGGTAGTTGTCTCTCCAGACTCTTCCCAGGACGTAAAAGGTTAGCATTATTAACTTTAATTGCACTTTTTTGCACTTCAAATAATTCAAAACAGCTGCTTGTCAGCTCTGGGAAAACAAATGATCATTGGAGATACGTATGTTAAAACCATCCGCAAAAACTGATAGTTGATCATTGTTTTGGCATTTATGGGTTGTGCACTTTGGTCTTTGAAACTGGGCGTTGTCGATTATATAACAGGCAACATGAAAGCGTCTTAAGCAACGCCCTATTACTCTCACTTCAAAAATATTTGCACATTTTGCCGCTTGAAAACTAGAGCAACCTAGTCGTTGTATGTCTAGTCATCGGCAAGCAGCCGTGTAAACAAGGTCCAGCATAGTCAAAGCCGACAAAATAGTATGAAGACGCAAGGCGGTAGTGTAGTCTTTCTTATTTTCTATCCAAACATTTTTGCTTCCTGAGCCGGAGTGAGTTAGCTTTGTCTGGGAAGAATTTCTGGTAACACTATCAGATACCGTAAAGCACAATGAATCTAACAGTAACATCATCAGGACGAGAACTGTTTAAGGAAACTCTACAATCTCGACTTTGTTTTCATTCACAACATACCGCGCAAACGGTTCGTGAGATTGGAGGACATTCAGTCCGGTTTTGGTTTTTGTATTTAAAACATTCACCCACTGAAACTCTGAATTTTGCAAAATCATTTTTTCTTGTTTGATGCTGAAAAATATTGAATTTGAATTACAAAATCAATGAGTTAACTTAAAAAGGGATTACAGCTTCAACTATTGTTGAATTTAACGGTCGTTCAAATCCTCGTATAAAAAAAGCAAAAATCCAACTAGATTCATCTTACACCATAAGGGCATTATTTGCCTGTTACATGCATCTTTCATTTCGAATTGCTTTATCCTACTTTTTGTTTGTCGAGTGACTGAACAGACAGCGTCCATCTTGGATATAAAATAAACCGCCATCGGTAATTGGGGCCTGTCATCTGACTACCAAATCCACAATATGGTACAATTATGCGAGTAAAAGGAACTTTTATCTACCAAGATGCAAAACCCGTGAAATAACCGCACAAAATGGTAATGCAATCGGCAACTTTTTTCTGAGCCTCGTGCATCTGCCATGCTTCAATGTGGTTTTCTATGTGTTTTTCGGTTTGAAGTGTGAGCTTTCATCAGTTTGCTCAGTTTTTTCTTAACTGTACATGGGATTTAATTTAAACAAACGTGATCCTAAGGTGTGGGTATTACTGCGAGGTCAGCATGGTCATCAAGTATTGAATTACATTATCAGGTATTACAAGCGAGTTTAGGGGGGGGGAATGCCTAACTTTGAACCCAATCAACTACTATGTACATATTTCCAAAGCTGGTGGACCACAACTAGTTGTTTTTTTATGGCTAGATATACACATTCAAAAGAAGCTTTATCATTCAAATCATTACTCCATATACTATAATGGTACTGAAGATCGCAACACATGATTACCAAAAGTGTTTTTTGTATTGTAGTTTGTAACTATACTCCTGTAAGTTTTGATACAAACTCAAAATATCCGTTGAGTTGGCATCTTATACCCAGCACAATTTGTGATTGGTGCCCTCAGTGTCACATATCTTGCTGCATATGTGATATCTGATTGATAAGGGATTTGAAAAACCAATTGTGTGACTATAACCGATCAACGGAAGTGCCCAAAATGACGCGTTTTAGTTTCTACGTTTTCGAATTAAAGATAATGCCGTATCACTACTACTCCATATTCCACCCAAAATGCGACAACAAAACTTTCATTTGCCTGAAATGCCTTGAACGTATTTGATTGTTTGATGTATCGGCAGGGTACTTGCAAAGAGTAACATGACTTCCCTCACAACTCACGCCTGTCTATTGGTGGCTACCCTGGTGCTGATGTGCGCATGCGCACTGGCCATTGACCCCGGCACGGCAACTGGTTGCTACGTGCACAACGCAATGAGGCACACAGTCGAGAAAGATGGCTGCCGACCCTACGAGATCACCGTGAGTGGATGCTGGGGTCGATGTGCCACAATTGAGGTAACATGTTGATATGAATTTTCAATTATATTCTAATTCTATGCAGACATATTCCTTAGCAAAATGAGCAAAGACGTCAATCTACTCACTCCAGCTTAAACCACGTCCAGTTCACACGGACTGGTTCTAACCGTACAGTCATAATTAAAAACAATAGTCAATCATAGTCCAGTCATAATATAAAAGTACATATTGCAGTAAAAAAAAGTTTTTACTATTTAAGTACAGATACCATGGTTTAAGTGCCTTCCATGAAGAAAGTTATACAATGAAAGTATCAAACGGAATGTAACGTAATACGTGCGAATTACGAAACAACGTATATCGCATAGCGCGAGCGTTTATGATACGCGCATATTAGAGACCATAAGCCGCCTTTCCATGTTCGCGTGTTTTTTTTTATCCATGTGCGTCGGGACAAGTTACTTGTTAATAGGCTACCCATTTTGCGTGGTTATTTATCTGGCACACCATGGTCAATGTGCATTCCAAACCTAAATGTTAAGATTTGTTATACCTCTGTCTTGAATACTGTATTTTCATTGGCCTAGAACTATCACATGTAAAGTTTATAAACAAAAAATGAATGGCACACTCCCTGTGGGATGTCATATAATTACGTGATATCCCACACGGAGTGTGCTGTAACTTAGTACGTACGGTACATGTGTACGGTGTGAGACACTTGTATCGTTGGTACCCACGCTATTTTCACCATGCTTTCACGCATGGGTGGGAGCAGCGAGCTAGCGGACGATCAGCTGTTTCGAGCACGCGACCTGCATGTGAGTTGACGTTTGATTGTCATGATTGTTGTGTTTATTGCTGTTTGTTTTCGTGATTTTTATATCAAAATCCAAAAAAATCCAAGACAGAGGTATAAAAAAAAACCAATTGTTGACTGCTGTGATGTGGGATATATGACTTTTAAACACCCTCGGGTCGCATTGCACCATCGGCTTCGCCTCGGGTGCTATGCGCCCCTCGGGTGTTGAAAACGTCAGATCCCACATCACAGCATGCAGTCAACAATTGCTAAATATAAAATGTTGATATAGCCCTCTCTTTTTTTCCGAGCCGTAAACGTATCCCGTACCCGCACCATTCCTAATGGCCCTACTTTTGTTACCAATCGGATTGGCCATACCAGATAATTGTCCATACCAGACCGGATTATTGGTTCCGTTGACCTTTAGCAGCACCCATTCTCTGACGCGATCTCCGACCGATTCACGTCACAAGTCGTGTGGGACGTCATATGGGCTGTCAGACAACAGCTTTCGTCATTCTCGAGTTGCCCGTAAATAAATATTGTGTTAATACTTTGCGGACCCATCAACTGATGAAACGAACACCGTCTCGTGTCAATAAGAAGAGGAGCCGATTGTATGGATCTTTACTGCTGAGCTGAGCACAGACAAACTTATATACAGTTTCACCCCAGGGTATAAAAGGAGGTTTGTTTTAATCCTACAAAAAAGGCCAATTGGCTTTTTTGCCGAATAATTAGGCATAATTAAAAAAATAATATAATAATAACGTTATCGTAATTTCTTTGCACGATGGGAGACATCGGTCACTAGGGAGAAATTTTCATGTCTCCCTAATGTCACAGCCCCCCTTTAGAGGCACAATTTTATTGTCGCAATTAGATTATATTTTGTTGCTCATGGTCTAATTAGTAAACATACCGAAATTCGTGGGAAAAGGACAAGGGAATATTGGGTTACGGCACATTTAAGTTTGAAAAATTGTGTGCACAAGTCTATGGGGATGTCTCCCAAATGTCCAATCCAGGGTAATTATAATAATTCCCGTTCCCAAGTACCCCCTCATCGGCAAAAAAAGTACAGTTGGGGGTGACCGACCGACGCCATCTTGCCTGACTGCAATTTTGCCGCGACGCGCGGCCGTACCATTGCGTGTACATAGCACAAATCCCCTGGTGTACGTGCGTCACACACAAAGTACAAGGAACGAGGCACGCCAACCAACTAAATGTCCTGCCCATGGGACGTCGTTGCTAGGTAAAAGGGCGCCTTCTTTCGTTGACGCACGGAGCCCATAATGGTGACTATTTTAAATAAAGAAGTGATATATTTAGGTTCCATGAAATTTGGTGGAATATTTCTGATTTGCAACGGTAAGTGTTCCTGTAGTGATCTAATTGAATAAGTTTTTTAAGCGTTCGCTGGTTCTTCTTTAAGACAACGCCATTTTCTTGCAGATATGAGGTGAACTCTGAAATTGTTCACTTTTGTTTCTCAGCGTTAGAGATATAATAAGCCTTACACCTTAAGAAGAAAGTCTGAAATTGTTTTGAGCAAATGCAATACATATTTTGATACCTGGATAGGGTAGAACAGGCATTGTTATTGGAAACAAAACCGTGAAATTGTTGAAAATTAGTTCCTCAAGATTGATACTGTACCATCCCCGAAGAGTCACGGTCTTTTTATTGGCAAGAAAGGACACTTTTTGCAAAGGAACTCTATTATATATCTACCCTAAAGATAATTTCCCCTGGTAGAAAAGAGGATCATATAATATAGCCTGCGTTAAATTCTAGAGGGAAATGTACCACACAATACACTCACCACAATGATGTGCAGGCTATGAACGACAATCAATTCAAATTAGATTCCATTCTCTTGTCGATTGTCACCCACTTTCTTGTTAGAATCGCACTCAACAGAATAGACAAGAAATATGTTTTGACTTGTTCACACTAACCCCAAGACAATTCATAGAACAATAGGCTGTTCGGATCGACAGCTTTGTAGCTGAAAATGATCAATTCATGGAGGATACAGCTTGGAACCTCTTACTGATGTCATAATAGGTGCTTAGCTATAGCAACCATGTACAGAATGTGTACACACACATGACGGGGTACCGTACACTGACTGTCTGACAGAAGCCGGGGGCAACGTTCGTCCAAGAAGAATACATATTTAGCCTACGGCTGGAAATACGTATGCGTATGCCACAAAGTGTCCCCCGTGTCAGAAGTAAACAAGTGGGGTATTCTGTCTTTTCTCAGCAGGAACAGCGCGACATTAGCTTAGTTTTCTTTCAATCAAACCTTAAAAACAAGATAAGTAAACAATATGAAAAACAAACATTTCGGCGATTCAGGACGATGTGACCCTTTAACTGCACTACAATCAACTAAAACATCCAGCTGACTCGTTTGAACCTTCTTAAAGATATGCGACGGAAAGGAACCCCCCCCCTTGTATTTGCGATTGTGTTCCCAGAATCTCAGGAATCTAGGGGATGTGTTAGGTAAGAAAAATCTAGAGTGGGTACATAATTATAGGGACATGGGGGGGGGTACCCCTGTCTCAAATTGTGAACGGTATAAGCTGACTGCATACCTGGTCTTGTGCAAGTTTGTCTCTCTTCGAATTAATCTGACTATCTAAGGTTTTGAGACAATAGGTCTGGTAATATTCCACTATGTTGGTCTTATTTACTTTTTTTTCTAGGACGTCTTAGATTTCCGTGTCTTTCATTTCTTCTGCACGCGTCCATCCGCATCCACACAACGTCATGATCTTCCCAGTACTTCCCAGTGCTTATCTGAATTGTTTTAATTCGTATGTCACTCCAAATTCATTGATGACGTCAGAGTTCGAAATCCCCCGACGATACTTCCTTTGATAATTTCCTGTGGCATAATCCAACCATGGTCAAACTATCAACAACGACCTCTTTTTTTGCGCGCGCGCGGGAAACGATCAACGCCTACTCATCCATTCTATTGTAACAACCACAACGAAGACAAGTAAGCCTTATATTGGATGTAGTCTAATAAAAACCAACCCATATCTGTCCCTTTTGTTGACAGGGAAAACAGGTATCGTCATTACACGTTGGTACACGAATGATTGTGTTTATTTTTTCCATTATAATAGCGGCCCCCACATAGCCTTATTAAAAAGCATATTGTTGAAAGCTATAGAGCCCCAGGTCCTTCGTGGAATGTTTAAAATTAGATCTGAAACAAAACCTGAACACGTGTAATGATTCATATCTTAAATAATGGCTAACTAAGACGAAAACACACAAACTGTAATCGATCTGCAATTGACAACAAAGGAACATTTCTAGGCATTGGCTTCGAGGAAAATGAGAGGCACAATTGTGGATATCCTGTCCTTTCATTGGGAAAAGACGGATTTTTTTTATAGAGCGTATGTAGTGCAATGCAATTTTCAAAGCTTGATATTTAAAATGGATATCCACAGAAGTGATGTGAATATCCGTGCTGAGACTCAGCAAAGGAAAAAAAAAGTAATGGTAAAACAAAGTGGTTACCCGGACATTATGAATTTCTTAATTATTTTCACTTTGGCCAGTAAAGTTAAAGGTTAATGAACAAATTATAGTCGAAAAGATCGTGTAAGTAGTGCAACCGCATACAGTGGAATAAAACCGTCTTTCTCCTTGCTTGTTTCCTAGATGTAAGGGACACTGCTTTCACTTGGTTTTAGTAGCGCTCAAAGTTACGTCTTATCTCTAAATAGTACTGATGCAAAACCAAAATTACTTAAGTCTTATCTGTGACATTTTTTTCCTTTTTTTAAATTTCTTCTACCCAAATCGTCAGGTTCCGGCACTCGAACCCCCATTTGTGACTGCCTCCCACCCCGTGTGCGGCTTCACCTCCTACGAAGAGAGACACGTCCAGTTACCAGACTGTGACCCCGGGGTAGACCCCACCTACACCTACCAGAATGCCCGCCGGTGCGAGTGCTCAACCATAGATTCCAGCAACACCATGTACAGCTACAGACCCGACTATTTCGTGTCCAAGAAGTAAATGAAGACCTCCCAACAATTTGGATGAGAGCATGATATTAAAAGTGCATTTTATGGTGTAAATTAGTTTGGACAGGAAATTGACCTTTTTACCATGATTCTTCAATTGGAATGTCCGGGCTGCGATTTGTTTTCCTCAAACGACATTTTTTCCCATCTTCTGATTGGTGCATTACATGCATATCTAATGCCTTGTTCTCCACAACACAAACCCAAGATGGGCTTTGCTTTCCTCACTTTAGTTATTTAAAAGGTAAGCATTTAAAAAACGCTCACTTGGATTCGAACTCGGATCACCTGATTAGAAGTCAGGACTACTTCCTACCAGTCCACGAATCAGCTGCCAATCGTCGGTGATTTAAATACCATTATTCCTTGAAAAACTTACTCCCTAAAGCCCTGGACATCATGATTAGCATAACGCAGATAGGAAGAGTGCCCTCCTTTGATATTGTCGGCTCTCGTTTGGCGTCCGGGCTACAAACCATTGTCACTACGATGAGGGATCCCTCTAATATTAGCTAGTTTTCTTGCTCGCCTCCGCTTTCCCCACAATAGAAACCTACGATGCTTCTTCCCCCTCCCGTGTCTCTGAGTTTAACTAAAACAAGTGGGCCTGATCATTTTGTTCAAGTTCTCAGAAAGCCAAAGCAGTATCTAGAAATAAAGCATCTTGAAATGTATTTTAGAATTATCCCAAACGGGGTCACACAATGTGAATCCTTTATGTGTTATGCCTCCATTATAGTGGAAATGATTACAATATCCCCTGGTGGGTGTTACAAGAGGTCGCTCAGATACAGATGACGGTGGCCCCCGTTGCTTATTTATTTGCGTAAAGAAACACACAATTCAGTGGGGAAAAGGTATTACGTGTTTTTCTTGTGGTATCCTGCATAAATGCGTTTTATACACAGAACTGTAAAGAAAAATCCAACCGAGTTTCTATGCATTAATTCATAACCAACCCATACTCTCTCTCTCTTTAATTTTGTTTACATCAATTTTTTTTCAAAAAAGGAAGTTATTCCCGTCATTTTCCCACCCCCTATTTAACCAAACTGTGCATGATTGATTGCGTACGCTCCACTTCGGACATGTTCGACATTTCCAACACGTTCAACCGGTTCGTACGAGAATAGGATAATCAGCTGTTGCGATTGCAAGAGTCTTATTACAAAATACCCAGCGGAATACAACTATAATGCCAAGGGATTTCGCTTATGAATTGTCCAGTTCAATATCAAGACGTGTTCAAACCCTCCAAAGCTGAGCGGAACCCCGGGATGATGACTGACTAAGCTCCTTTCCCCACTTTTTCTTTGAAGGGGAGTGTGATTGTGTTCGATTTACTTGGCATTTCGCGAGCAATTTATCGATAAGTTGTAGTAATTTTCCAAAACTCAATCCAAGCGCATCCCCATCACCGTTTTCAGGTTCTTCTTTTCATTTCCCTCTTTGTTTTGCCACGTCATACTTAAAGGGAATGACGGCCTGGGATGCACCCACTTCGGCTATCAAACACGTTTAAAAGTATAATGTCGTTTAAAAGTATAAACGTCAACACAACCATCCTTTAAAAACCAGAACGAATTTCGGAGGGTCACAATTTTGTCCCCGCAAAATCTAGCTGTTCAGTGCTAGTTGTGATCCAGCCGCATAGTTTTTCGCACTCTGCGGACATGTAAAGAGAAACATTTGATGTGTATTTCAATGTGTGTATTGTGTACCACACACCACGTGTATACGCTGCATTGATTAGACACGACTTGAAATAATACTTTTTTAGGGAACGGTAAGACATTAGGTTTGTTTCCTTTCAGCCAGACCTTTACAAATAGTATATGTAAACAACCCAAAACATAAAAATCGGGGATTTCAGGCCGGAATACCACTCTAAGTCATATTTGGGCGACTTGAATGCTTAAGTAATGGAAATTCATGTTTCACATCTTAGATGTGTTTGACAAGATACCACGTAAGTGTAAGGAATAGCCTGCGGTGCATCTGATGTCTGTGCACTCTAGCGTCACGTTCTTGGCCCCTGGCACAGACTGGCAACGAAATTGGCATCAGATCGGATCGATCGAAAAAGCTGAAATGTCAGGTTCTTGTGAAGTTTAACCAAATGATGAACGTCAAATGTTCTAAGACTGGAATTTCTCAAACTCTTCCCTTCAGTAGCACAAACAGCAAAATATAATGCAAAGCATTTAATAATAATAATTATTATTTAAAATACGGGCAATGGTACGGTACCCTATGGAGGCATTCTCATAGGGCTGTGCACAATTCACATAGTACGTGGGCACGTACCCCCGCGATTTTTTGGTATGTTTATGTTTTGGACAACGAACAACGAAATAGCCTATTACGAATTTAAAAAAAAATGTCTCCCTAATGTCCAGTGTCTCTGTTAGGTATAACTTATGACGTCATGTCTCCTGAAGGGTACATTAACAGGAACTAACTAGAAGTTTTGCGCTTGTTCTTGTTACAAAGCAGGGTTATGGTTTTTAGTACATTAATCAATGTCACCGTTAAAATGGCAGAAAATTGTCAAATCTCGGATTAATTTATCAGTTAATGCATGTATCATTTGTATGGATTGATTGGCACTTAACGACCAGTTTGATGACGGCACAGCATTTGGTTGCCTGACACCAAATGTTGGTATCAGCATTTGTGCCACAATCAACGCTTTTGAGCAATGAATGATGGATTTGAATAAAACAAGAAAAAACAAGATCATCTAGCGTAACTTCCGGTCTGATGACGTAATCATTTGGAACCTTCGCAAATTGATTTGCTACTGTCCAAAAAAGTTGCTCTGGTAATCTGATCCACATTTTGGAAAATGGTTCTCAAATAAAAACAAAAACAAAATCAACTTTGCTTTACGTGCCTGTAGAGAGCGCCCTTTCAATTGATGACATCATCATGACTTCTTTGTGTGTGTTTTTGCTAAATTAACTTCCGAGGTGGTCCCATCATGCATGACGAGTTCTATTTGTAATCAGCCCCATCGTCCAAGAGTCGAACAATTTCAAAACGGTGATTGTGTTGAAACTCGAAGACCAATCCCATCAACTAAGGCCAAAAAAAAAAGTCTCCGATTTCTGGTATGCGCGCGCGTCGCCGTAGCCATGCGCGTCGGCAAAATGAAAACGTTTTTTTTTTCAATGAAAGATGATGTCTCAAAACCGCCAAACTCACTGGTTTGACTGGAATCCTGCTACTGCACAATTTTAACGTGTTTTTAGATGGGGTTATGATCGAGAATAAGCTTTATGTGGCCTCTCTGGACTCCCATATATTTGCACTAAGTTTAGTCGGGCACCATTTGCAGTCATCAGCCGACATTTGAAGCAAAAAAGTCAGGTAAAAAAAAAAAAAAAGCCGCGTCGCCGCACCACTTTTTGGACAAGCTCCATACCAGAAACCGGAGACTTATTTTTTTTGGCCTAAGAATGAATCGTACAAAAACCGGATATCGAGGCTGTCCGGTCAGCCAAGAAGAAGAAATGATATAAGGGTGACTGCCCGAATGTCTGAAGGTTCTTTAGTCCGTAAGCTCGTTAGTCCGCCCTTACCATGGACCACTTGTGGGGAACCTGTCCTTTGTTCGAGGTACACCACAAATACAATCTTTACAAAAAAAGGGTACCCCGCAACGAAATCTTTAGAAATAGGGACAATGGGACAACAATGGAGGTACCCCGAAAGTCCATCTGGCAGGGATGTCCTTAGGTTCGATAGTCAGAAGGTTTGACAGTCCGAAGGGCCCATAGTCCAAAAATAGGATAAGGTCAAATAGTCCGGAGGCTCGATAGTCCGAATAGAAAATAGAGTTCAATAGTCCGAATCGACAATAAGGTTCAACAGTCCGAATTCACAGCCTTGAACACTATATATTGTCAATTTGGACATCTAAACCTTATTTTTGTTTCGGACTTTTATCTTATTTATTTTATTTATTGTAATTTTTAACGAGGGTAGTCCATTTCAGTTTAAAAAACTGCTTTCCAAAGGAGCCCTCACACTATTGAACATTCGGACTAATTAACCTTATTCTAAAATCACACTACCGAACCTTCGGATAAATGAACCTTCGGACTATCGCATCAAACGTTCGGGTAAACGAACCTTATTTCTTTTTCGGAATTAAACCCCGGTTAGGTGAAATTTGCGCGCTCGGACTATCGAACCTTCGGATCAATAAACCTTCGGACTATCGAACCTTCGAACTATCGGGCGGACCCCGGGATAAGCCCGGTTTATCAGGTTGTGTCCGATCACCCAACAACAACATGGAAAAAAGAACCAAGACAAAACCAAAGAGGGATCAATCGGGGATCAGCCCGATCACGCAATAAATCCAAGCCACGGGGTTGCCTCAGAGGGTTTATAAGGCATGTAGGAATCACAAAAACTGCAGTTCGTTGACTCTTGCCAACGCAAACAAACATTTCATATTGTACGTTCCCGACACAGGACGACAGACTTTTGTCTAACCCAGGAGAGTTTCTTTTGGAAATGAAAGGGTTTTGTTCACAAATCTATGCTGAAAATGCTTTCAAGAAATTGTTCCTCCTGCTTTATACTCATGAATAATTGCATTGCAAAACTGTTCACAAAAGAATCACCATACCCCCCCCCCCCTGCATACAAGCTGCACATAGTCTCTCAAGGCCGTTTGCTCAGCACGTAGCTCACCGTGTTCGGTGAATCTTTGTTGCGTTTTCTGCCTCCCGATGGCCGTGAGTCCAATTTCTATCCCGTTTGATTTATTTCCCCTCGCGAGTTGAAATTCTCACCGTTTTCGGCGAACCTGAGCTACGTGCTGAGCAAATGCCACGAACGACATTTCTTTTGCTCAGCACGTACAGCTCTCGTGTGCGGCGGGCTTTAAAGAAGGGGTTATCGGTTGAATATTTCCTGAATTGAAACAAAATTCATTAAAATAAATGTGAGGAATGAAAAGAGGGGGACATTATAACAGACCTTTATGCCGGTCTTTGGATTGTGTGTTGAAAGCACCCTTTAACCTGTTGTTGAAGGGTATCTTGATTAAACCCCCGCCCGCTCGCATATCAAAGTGATCTTGGACTGAAGAATTTCGCAGGCACAATTTTGTTGCGTG